TTTTTTTTTTTTTTTTTTTTTTTTTTTTGGCTATGACTGATTTCAATTGACTTGAATCCAGCAAGAAACAGTAGTGAAGCAACTAAGGGCCGCACGCTCTGCTCCACCACTCGTGAAATGTACAACATGAGAATGAATTGTCTGCTAGAACTCGGAAAGATACACCGCCATAATTTTTGTCTTTTGTGCATGTCGATGATGTGGAGCGAGTCCCTAAATTGAGTGTTTATCCATCTGCACGACCTCGTGATTGGACAATAACACTTGAAAATGGGGGCCCAACGTGTTCGTAATGCTGAACGACTACTTCGAGCTCAGACTGACGAGTGGACGATGACAACATATGTGAAGGCAGTTTCTTACCCTCCCAGCCACAGTCCGGGAAAGGTAGCATTTTTACAGAGTGAAGGCCACAGAAGGGGGGGGGGCGGGGGGGGGGGAGCATACGAGGTATATGAGTGATGCTGGAGCAGGCTTCCAGCCTTCGATGCTCTGTGGATTGCCAGATGGGATGCTGGACCTGGCTGGTCTCCAGCGTACAGATGTGACGGGATATGTTTTTTTTTTTTTTTTTTTTTTTTTTTTTTTTTTTAAAAAAGGCTAATTCTTTAAGCCCAACCAATTCAATTACCTGTCGAATTTGGACAGGACGGCCTGTCAGAGCTTTTCTATTGTCATTATAGTATTACGGGGAACCCCGTAGCAGCCACATCCGTGCTCAAGCCTCCAAAGAGGGAAGGACGCTGGACCCGACTTCCAGCAGGATATGGGGAAAAAAAAAGGGGAAAAAAAAAAAGACGCTGAACCCGACTTCCAGCAGGATATGGGGAAAAAAAAAGGGGAAAAAAAAAACACACTGGAATGGTCCAAATTTCTCCAGAAAGCTACGCTACCAGAGTGGCCCGGGGTCACTTGCCCGGCCGGGCCAAAATAATAAAAAAAAATAAATATAAAAAAAACATGTTTGAATTGTATTTTTGATTTTAACTTTGGTGAAGAATTTCGATGTGACCCTGAGGCAAAAGTTGTTCAGTTTTTCAGATTTTTTTTTTTTTTTTTTTTTTTTTTGCTGGGACCTTACCTGATCCTTGCACGGGCTGGCCACCGGGGACCCGGGCGGCCCGGCTGGTAGCCTAGCCAGAAAGAATAAATTTAATACCCGTCCTTTATTATGCATCTGGTTTACCTTTATTTCAAGGCGATTTTTGTATTGACGCTCAAGATCGGCTGTCAGACATTGCTTTATCTTTTGCGAGAGTCCTTCAATCACTCTGTCTATCTTCTGTCCACTATCCCTGGCAATTGGTACAAGCCAAAGCAAGAAGGCCAAGAAAGTAAAAGGGAAAAAAAAAAAAAAAAGGCCAAGAAATGAAAAAAAGTAGGGGAAAGGAAAAAAAAAAAAAAAAAAAAAGGTACTGGTGGAAACAAAAAAAA